TCTAAACTCACGTTAGTCGCCGCCCTTTACCGTCGAAGAAGCTCCACCCGGCCTTCCCCCCCGACCATAACCCCTAGGAAATCGTGATCGGTTGACGATCAATCGACCACATATCGATATTTTAAATCTCACGAACCCTAATGAAAATTGTGATCCCAAGGGATTTCGATGATTAATCAGCGAAAACTACGACGACTATAACTAAGATGATGTCAAGGACAACATTAACGACGGTGGTGGCGGTCGGAAAAGGCGCCGGATTAAGGTTAGGATTTAATATTTTGGAATTGTTTTATAATATAAGATAAGTTAGGGTTTTTTATAAACATAATAATATTTTTAATATTTTTTTAAAAAATAAATTTCAAAATTATCAGGAGTTGACACGTGACACTTAATGGGAAAACTAACGGCATTGACGACCTGAGTACCTAAAAAGATAATGTTTGTTAAGTTAGACACATGGATGGGTCAAAAAAACCTAAGCACTTATTTGGCAAAAAAAGCATAGTTTGGGCACTTATTTGAGAATTAAGCCTTTTTATTTTGATCATATTATTATTTTAGTTGATTTAGAAAAATATCTTTTTATTATTTTTTATTTTTCCATCATTAAATTAATGACAGTATGATAAAACATTTAAAAGTTATGAAAACATTTACGTTTATATTTATAAATATACTCTAAAAAATTTTGAGCTTTCAACTTCAAGCACTAGGAATGTCGGGGAGCTTTAAATGTCGAACATACCTTGTATTACTCCAGAATAATAATAAATAAATAAATAAAAATTAATTTTTTGGGTAAATTATGCGCTTAGTACCTAAACAATCAGTTTCAAACCATTTTAATACCTAAACTTCTAATTTTTTTCAAAATCATATGTAATGTTTAGTTTTTGTTTCATTTTAATACATTGTCGTAAAAAACTAAACAACACTGCATTTTTTATGGGTACATTTTATCATTCATCCTTAACCATCTTCTCACTCCTATTTTGGTACTAAAATTTAAAAAAATCAATTTAACTACTCAACTTTCAATTTGCTCATATTTAATCACTCTAAATTATTTTATTAATAATTTTTGACAATATATTTTTTATTATTATTTGTTAATATATGATTAAAAAAAATTAAAAGTTAAAGTGATTAAATTAGGTGTAATTTGAACATTAAGTAATTAAATTAAAAAAATAGAACTCTAGTGACCAAAATATGAGTGAGAATAGTTATGTGATAAATGATGCAGTTTACCCATAAAAATGTGTCATGTGAAAATCACTTGTTTAGGTAGTAAACGGATAAAAACTGATAGTTTAGGTACTAAATGCGTAATTTACCCTTAATTTTTAGTTTTTTTAGATTTAATTGCATCATATATCCCCAAATTATTAAATCTAATTTTAAATTGGTCCTTAAACTTTTGAATATTTCAATTTCATTCACAAACTATGAGTATCATTTTAGATTGGTACTAATTTCATCACTAAATTATGGTTCTCTTTCTAAATTTGTCTCTAAACTTTTGAATACATTTTTTCCCCAAACCTATTGACAATGAACGCTTAAATATCTTGTAATCGCTAGTGCTCAAACTTGAAACTTCTAAAAATAACAATCATCCCTTTAATCATTGATCTCACTTTTATTTTTCTAATACAGAAGAATAAGTAATAGTTAACGTGACCCATGCATATCTGTCTATAAAAGCATGTAGCTCCTTTGGCGGTTCCACCAACTCAATGGTTCCAGAGGACGACCACGGCTCCAACCAGCTAAGAAATCAGCAGCAACGTCTTGTTCCTGATGCACATGTCGCATTTCCGTAATCCATTCCCAGCATCGAAGCTCATGAATACCATTTACCAATGCACTTCCAGCCAAAGCCTCCGACTTGCGGTGCCAAAATCTTCGTAACCTCCAAATTATCCGTTTCTAGCTCCACACGACGGAATCCTAGATTCCAGGCACTCAAAAATGCCATGAATGACCCAATTTCGCAACAAGAATAGAACAACGACCTAAACTACGAGAAAACCCAAAGATCCAAGTACCATCCGAATCACGAATCAACCCACCTGCAGCTACCATATCATTGGTTCTAATTGCCATTCAAATCACGAATCAAACCACCTGCCATATTGTATAATTTAAGTATATTTATACATAGTGCTTTTAATATTTTAGCTGCATTTATATCACCGTCACAGCTTGACTCCATTATCAAAATTGGTCCATACCATTGCATTTATGGCTCTCTCTCTCTCTCACCACACACGCATACCAAGATTCAATAAATAATTAATACCTCATTTTGCTGTCCCTTATTCATAGTTAATCATTAGTTCTTGATTTAATATCCTCATTCTCCATGGAAAAGACAGAACCATGATCATTCTTTACAAAATTTCAGACAAAAGAAAATTGCATTTACATTAGCTGGTTTCATCCTATACAAGTATTAACCATCTTTCAAGAACACAGTTTTGGTAAGAATCTAGCATTATTACCAAGATTGGATAATCTTGTTCTTGGAACATTTCCTATCCGACTCTGCAATATCCCACAGTATTTCTCCAGTTCTGTTACCCTGCATTGCATTCCTTGCAGCTTGAAATCCAGTTGCTCGGCTTTACTGGAAAGGTTGATTCTTTTTGCATACACGAGGATTTGATCGGAACTCGCCTCATCTACACTGTCCTCGCAAACGATGGGACCGGTAGAAGGTGTCACCGTCGCGGTGGTTTTGGCCCTCGAACAAGCTTTCAAGCTTGGACTGCTGATTAATGAAAACTTGTATTGCTATTCTTGAAGGGAACTTCGAGTCCCGAGCCAAATGTCTCAGTGCATCTGTTGAGAGCTTTGCATAATTAAGTACAGAGCATATTCTCATTTTCTTTGCCTCACATAGTCCACCATGAACCTGTTCAGAAATTCCATCAATCAAGTAACTCCGGCTTTCGGATTATTAACAATCCTAATAACCAAGAACTAATCTCATTCCAACATAAGCAATCAAAATAGAAAAGCATCTTCCTAAAATTTTAGAAATCTAAAGTGATTCAGGGATAGCAATACCTCTAGGTAAATGTCTATGGCTTGAAAAACCTGTCATGGGATTCTCTTGCATCATCTGGGAGCACCATGACTAATGCTGCAAACATGGAAGGGTTCAGGTGGGAATCTGCAGCCACTTCCATGAGGAACGAGTCGACCAAGCTAGCAACTTTTTTTAATCGCATGGCGGACACGAAACAACTTCCTTCTTTGCAAAATGCTTTCACCAGCCTCAGAACCAGATTCACATCATACACATAATCTCTCCTGTGTGGGGATGGGACTAGCAGAAAATCTATGGTTGCTTGATCCAGTTGCAAACCAATAAGATTTTCCAAAATGGACTTGTAATGTGTGCTAATTTTCAAGCTTGAAGCAACTCGAAATATCAAATAAGAGCTTGCAAGGAAGGCAGCTCCTATTGAGCAAAGAGAGCAGATTGATTATAACCTCTATGATTTTGCACTTTTCGGTTAGGCTGGCACTGGGAAATCTCGATCTTTGATAACATAAGAGGAATTTACTAACCGTATCATGATTGATATTCCGGCTTATCATCGTTCTTACTACCTTGTCAATCAAATCAATACTCAGAAACAGAAGATCCTCAAACCACCAAAATATTTGAGGAAACTGTTTCTGATCCTCAAACTGGAATTCTCTGAAGACGACACATAAGGGCTGGCAACACCAGAGAGCCAAGCCTTCCTATAACACAATCAAGGACCTTATGTATCAACGAAGAATTCGAAGCAGAAAGTAAATTTTGACACTCTTTCAAAGCTACAAGGAGCTCAGACCAGGTCCAGAGACCAATACCATCCAGAGACTTTCTTGTTTGGTTTAACAAACAAGGCCTGGGGCCATCGTCACTCTCCATCTCCATAAATTGCGCAGCGAAATTTAGTAGGACTACATCGGTGGGAGTTATCTTGGTTCTTCCCTTGTTAAAGCAAAACCTTGCCGCTAGCTCAAAACCCTTAGCTCCCTCTTGGAAGTCATGAAGTACCACTTTCAGGTTCTTGGTGTCATCCATCAGATCACCTAACAAATTGCTGAATCTACCAGAGAAAGATGCAAGAATCCTCTGCATTATTAATGAAAAGAAGAAACATTGTATGATATTTCAGTTCACTTTACACCAAAAGGCCAAGCGGTTACCAACTCAACAAAAAGATATGAAAGTATAAGTGCACCAAATAGTATAAAACAAACCTATAGAGAAAATTGAAGAATATTGCATTCTTAGGCAATCGTGTTGAGAAGTTGCTGTCAACAATAAATTTAAGAGTGGTCCTGTTTCTTATGTAATCTAGTGGGGGGACCAAGATCCTTGGTGAAAGGAAATAGATTACAAAAACCAGAAGAATCAGAAAAGAAGGCCTAAAAGAGAGTACAACTAGAGTCAATATCCTTATATCCTCCACTGGAAACAAGAAAAATAAAGGATTGAATGGCACTACACAGTAACACTATTTACCTTGTCTACCATGAAATTTTTGTCAGTTCCACAATTGACATCCTAATTCAAGATCACTGCAGAGAGCGGAGTGGCATTGTTGAGATAAAACAAGAGTGAAAACTGAGAACCCACAAGAGTAAAAGGAGGTTTGTGGAGCATAGACAATAGAAAGGTGCTGTGTCCGAAAGGGGGAAACTTTTGGAGTTTGAGCCAAACGAGGAGAATAAAGGACAGGAAGAATGATGCAGCAAGAAGGGAAAGTGAGAATTGCAGAAAAGTTGCTTGTGTGAATAAGCTTCAGCTGAAACTGGCATGCTTTTGGTTGGTCAATGGACAATTGAGCATAAGAGACAATTTGTAAGCATATACCAAAGGATTGGCTAGTGAGAAAGGAGCGGGCTTTTTGAAAACTCTATAAAACTTGGTACCTATGAATTAACAAAGACCATCTTGATTTTGCAAATTTACCCTCGGGAACAGTACCAATAAATCTGACAAGCTTGGTATGTTTTCACGTTACTAACATTTTCCTTCAGAGTGCTTAGCATACAGCTATTTCAGCCAGGTTAGCCGAGTATTGAAATAAAAGTAGCAAGAGATTGTGAATCACTTGAAAAAAAAAAATGAAAGGGCGTTGCAATTGATTTGGAATGCCATTTGTTATAAAGTTTCTTTTAAATTAAAAAAAAGGAAAAACAGATCAACTGCGTGAAATCATTAGTCATAACACAACTGCAACCACTGACATTCTAAAACCATTTAGGCAGTTAGGGTGACACAATGGACTCCTGTTAAGGCAACAACCCTCTCAAACTTTAGTAGCCATTTCTGAGGCCTTGGAGTGGACCATCAGCCGAGAAAAAGGCATTGGGGCATGGCCGGGAAGAACCTTTTGCCCAACATGCTGATTATCTCTTTCATGATCTGAGAATGGTTTGGAAAAGGCTTGAGCAAGCTCCAATGCTGATGCTGCTTTTCCATAGCGCACACCAGCTTCAGGAGAGACTAGTTGAGGCTTCTCAGCAGGCTTACACCAGGTTTCAGGTGAAGGCTGCCTCCTGCTGCTGTTGCTGTTGTCTTTCAGTTTCCCTGTCATTCTGCAGTTTCCTTACCCAGCTCCTCCTATGCATATCAACTCTTTCATTGTGAACGCTGTAGTTCCTCTCAGATTTCTTCCAGCTCTCTGATCAACATAAGGATCTCACTCTTTCACCATGGCGAGGAGCTGCTTGCTCAGCAAACTTTTCACTCCTCATAACATTATTTGACCCTTCACACGACAATAAACGATTGATGAAGACACGGTACATTAAGTTTCAAGCCAATTAATAACAAACCAATAGAAAGAAAAGGGCCAAATGTCATAACAGTACAAATATAAGAAATGACTACCTATCAGGTTGTTGGCCCAGCTCATGGCTGCTGTCATCAATCCCTCTCTCCTTCCGAACCTGAGAAACAGACCACGATACTTCAGGTGTTAGAAAACCAGAATAATAAGAATAATAATAAGTGTGAAGCTATAATAAGAAATCAAACTATTCACATAAAAATGAAAAAAATATTAAACAATGCAATAGCATACAGGAGAGATACTCACCATTTCTCGTGGACAAGCACCACCAAACACACATTTCTGCATCAGTAACACTTAGCTAATAAGTAGTACTAACATAAGTGACAATTTTTCCAGAAAATAACTAAATAAAAACACCCTCATCCATCAAATACTGCAGAAGTTGATAGGACATGCAAAGAAAAAAAATGAAGCCATTATATGTACACTACCCTCCCATGTAGCCAAGTGTGTGATGCAATCATGCAACTATCATTCAAGTAATGACAGATTAGTTGTGCATGGCAACCTAACAAACAAGTGAAACAAAATTTTAGAAAACCATTCACTTTTCCATTGTTATAGTTGCTTCATGATAAATTTAAATGTGAATCAATGATTCACAGTTAAATTATTCCCACAAATAATGATCTAATAGCTAAATCAAATCCCTATTTAGTACTATGAGACTATTCAATTCCAAATTGCAAATGGTCTAGTTTAGCTAAGATCAAATCCCTATTTAGTACTATGAGACTATTCAATTCCAAATTTGCAAATGGTCTAGTTTAATGCTCAGGGATATTCCCTAAAGAAATTACCCGATGTCAATTTTCTAATGCATTACTTTTCTCACTTACATATTAATAGTTCTGTCCCTCGACCACAGTAAATTATCAATTACTAGATAACAGAAATACACATCTATAACACACTCATACAGAGTAACATAATTTGAAAATAGACACATACAGACCTTTCTTTCCCGATGTTACCCTCCAATTGATCAGTGGCTGTGAACGAGGCTTCAAATTCAGTTTAGGACGCTCATTATCTGGTTCCCATTCTCACTGCCAGCTGAACCAGGTTTTGAAGTATTCACATATCCATAAAATCATTACCAATTCCAGCATGACCAACAGCGGAGCACTTGACCATGCTGCTCCTATTACAAGGATTATCAAATTAGGAGAGACAAAACGAATGCAAGCTTCAATACGGTATCACATCAAATACTGTTTAGCATCAACAAGGTTATTCAAGATTATCCAATGGCTTGGTGTGAGGAAGTAACTTCACTTGGGCCGGTCAGATGCTTCAGATGGCAATGACAGTGATGGCTGCGATTAGAACTGCCAAATCTGCCATCTTCACGAATTGATTGAGTTCCTTCGCCGTAAGTTACTGATTTATTTTCTGTAAACTTCCAAATAGTTAGGAAAACGGGCTCGTCTCGTAGTCTGGTAATGCCTTTCTACCACCCTGTATTCCATCTCAATGTCAGTCCCCTTTCAACTTGCCTGGCCAACATCGCATCAGAATACCCCCTCCCAGCCATTGCATTCATTCTGCTGTTTTGTCTTATCATCACAACCCTGGGGATGCAAGCCATTTTCTGTTTCCGAGTGTTTACTAACATCAACATCTTTTGATGCAGAACAGATTGCTTTGACTGCCATCGACACGAGGAAACCTTGTCAATAGCAATAGCATGAACCAACTTCGAGATAGCGCTTTGTTCAGCATTAGCAACACTCACAGTCGCCACTTCCTAGCTGCCCCAGAAGCCGCCTGCCTGGTTCCCCCAGACACTCTACTAGAGTAGAGATTCCCTGAACCACTCGACATTGGAACTACCGGAGCTGACAAATATTGACCCGAAACCCTCCCTGCATAAACAGACTCCGGCTTCTCCAGGACTAGCCGGAACCCCAAAACTCTCATACGGTAATAGTTCTACGAGGGGCAGAACCCCCATCTAAGGGCTTCCTTTCATCCTCGTCAAATAAACGACCAATATGAACTGGCAAAAAAATGGAGTTTTATCATCAAAATGCCTCGTTGCAGGTGAAGAATTCGAACGGCCACGATTATCAGGCCGCCCTACTGGGTTCCCACGATGTTGCTCTATCAGAACCTGAACGAGTGGCAGGCCTAAACAGTCCTGTACTCATAAAATTCGATTAAAGCAGATCCGAAGGTTCAAAATTTCGGATTACACCCAAAAAGCATAAAATCATAAACAAAAAGACATAAGAGAAAAGAGGAAAAGAGAATCAGATTCAAATGGAATTTGAAATTTGGGAATTTACACGCCAGGGAAGAAGGGAGAGGAAGATCAGATGGGATAGAACCGCCATGAAAATCTTTAAAGTCATCGTGCTTCCAGGGGGTTGCCTCTTACTCTATGTTTACTATACAAACAACACCAGCAAATATCTCTCCCTCTCGGCTATGTTCTTTGATTCTTCTTCTTCTTGGATCGGTCACTTATTAGGCATCAAACCATGAGCAATTAAATTACGAGTTTAAGGATGGAACTTTGAGGTGAACCAAAGCCTGTATTGTTTTGGGCCAAATCGTATAACGAGAATGTGAAATAGTTGTAATAATTGGGCCTAGTTTTACTTTGGACTCAAAGAATGATTTTCCCCCATCCATTGCTAATTCATTAAAGGGATGATAATTATTTTAGAAGTTTTAATATGGTTATAGGAATGTTTGAGCGTTTATTATCAAATAATTGAGAGTATTTTAAACAGATATTATCTACAACTTTCCATTGATTAAGATTATTAAAGAAAATTTTGTCATCGCACTAATATTAAAAATATATAAAATACTTTTATTTATTTTATTGATTGATTATTCTTGAGCATAATATATTCAAACTTAATAAGTTTTGAATCAAATATAAGATTTTATAATAATTTTGATATTAACTGATGATTATTGTCTTTTGAATTGTTGATGCCATAATATTAAAATCTTGATTTTAATTTCTTTAAATATTTAATTATGATAAGAGTACGTCTACGCCATGGTGAATTTCTTCCTCTGTTACATGATGAAATTTATTTTATTTTTTATTAAGTTAATATGATTAGAAAATAGTATCGGCTAGAAGTACTAGGGATCCAAAAATATTTTTCAGGGTAGACACACATATGTTAACAACATAAAATTTTTAAATGAGACAGGTACAAATAAAATTTCAGGGTGGAAACCGTCCGTAGAATAAGTAATTTATCGAAGAAAACTCAGATTTCAGGGTAGTCACTATCAGTAAAATAAGTAACTAATCAAAGAAAATTCGAATTTTAGGACGGACACATGCCAAGCCGTGGCTCCGCCATTAAGAAGTACTTTTAACCATTTGACAACCCAAGCTAATTATGGATTTATAAATTGAGATCACACTAAAAAAAATTCTGCATATTTGTTTAGTGTATGGAACATTCATGGTAGCATATAGGAAACGAGAAGAGGTTGTAGTGTACGAATCAACGATATTTTTTTCCGTGGTAGGACATTATACGAGTAGCATTATGTGCATCATTTTTTTTAACCATATCGATGATTGACTAATGATATTTAAATAAATTGTGTCAGAATTCATCAATTGATTTTTAATAATAAAAGAAATATTGTTCTTTTAAATTCGAAAGTTATTAATACGATATATGTATCTTATCGATAAGTTAAATTTTTTAAAACATATGTTATTTTTATAATCACTTCAAATTATTATATTAAGATATTTTTATCTCTAATAGGATGTACATATAATATTATGTGTCACATCACTTCAAGTTAAGCATGAGTTAATTTTTCTAACATTTCATCTTCAAAGAAGAGAGAATTACCGTCTCTAAAATACTTGTATGCTAATTTAAAAGATTAAAATCATAAAGTTCAAGATTTCAACAACAATATTCAAAATTTATATAAAATAGTTCAAGCATTATTATTTAGTGTATTTTTTTAATGACTTGACATGAACGACCTATCGATGTTGAGTTATTAAATTTTATATCAATTTTAATTTCATTCTAATAGTGTGATAGAAGTATGATATCAATTTTCTTCTTCTTCAATAAGATAAACTAGATGGAACAATCAGAGATTAATTACACCAAGTGATCCTCAAGCAATCATCAAGATTCTAAATTAGTTACTAAATTTCAAAACATTCTAATTCAATTCTTAAAATATTACTTTGTATCAATTAAATCTTCCTGTCAGTCCAACCACTACATTAGATATTAAACTAAATTTAATTTGATCTAAAACATATTTAAAACACGTAAATTAAATTTTAAATTCGTACATAACTACTGCATGGACAACTTGAAGAATAATGTCAATAAGATTTAGGTATTTTATGAACCCATCATATTCCTGCCCACAATTTACAATACAAGGCAGATTAGCTTCTTTGTACAATTTGCAATATATATATTAGTCGGCTCACCCTTGTCAGGTAAATTCCATGCACTCATAGTTCGCAGGGAAGATTTATGTAATCTTTATCCTTAAACTCCTAATAAAGATGATCCGTATTTGAGGTCTTAATGACTATTATGATGTGTTTTTATATTTGTTAATCTTAAAATTACAAAAATTTAGTCATGAATATGCACATTTTCTATCAATTTAGTCATGATTTTGAAAAAGTTATCAAGCACAAATTTGTATATCAATAATTATGCAAAATCTTATTTAGTTAATATGTGAATTTATATCACAACAATATCAATTTTAAAACAGATTTTCATGCCAAAACTTAATGACGATATCTTGAAAAATAAAATATCCAAATGTGCAAATATGAAACTTGAAAAAGGAAAATAACATAAAGTTATTGTAATGCTGCACCTAAGGTTCTGAGCTGAATTGTAACGATGCCAACACCAGGGGTTTCAACAATGCAGAGTCGAAATCAACAATCGACGGTACAGGCATAACAGTTAGAAGGCAACCATGTTTGTGTCAATGTCGTATGTCCAAATTGCATCAACCGAACTTCAACTGTCAAAACAGAACCATGTGGTTATGGATGAAATTCAAACTGATATCCAACCTATTGACAGGGTTCTTTGTTGAACTTGTCCAATATGAGGCCTAAAACAGATTGAAGCTAAGATAAACTAGATGGAATAAGCATAGGTAAATCGCACCGAATGATACCCGAACTATCATCAAGACTCTAAATTGAATACCAGGCTTCAAAACGTTCTAATGAAATCATATTTGGACAATAAATTCAGTTTGAATCTAACCTGAAACATATTTGAAACAAATGGATCAAGTTCTGAACAAATAAGTAGCAACATGGACAGCTTGAATCATGCAGTGCCAATAAGATTCAGAACCATTTTTTAACCCTTCAGATCCAAACTATTCATGTAACAGATATACATGGTTACAAATGTTCCACATCAAATTTAAGCTGACAGTTAACGTCCAAGCTAATGGCTAGTGGAAGAACCTAATGATACGATACTATACGAGAAGGACACGGGTTATTTTTTAAGGTTTTGACCAATTTAGAAATCTAGATCATAATTGAGAGTGTCTGGTGCAATAACCGAAGAAGCATGTAACATGAACATAAAGGAAAAAAACAAAAAAGTCATGGGGAACTATATCTCTTACAGTCCCATTCAAGGTCAAGGGAATTTCAGCCTCAAAGCAGATCGCGATAAGCCTGATTCCACAAATTGTATAGCTTCTTCAATCCTCGACTCTTTAACTAATTTATCTACCAATGCAGCCCCAGATATGATACTAGATCCATAGCCTCCTTACAAATCTCAGTTGCCATTTCAAACTCATTCTTCTTCCTAAGGAACGAAAGAACTGTAATGTAGGTAACCCGATCAGGTGAAAAACTTTTCTTCAGTTCACCATACCACTTCATCACTTGCTCTAAATTCAGCATTACAATACCCTGTAATCAAGCAGTAGCTATGAACATCGGGTTTGATTCCTTTGCTCTTCATTTCTTCCCGTAACTCAACAGCTTCCGATATCTTTCTCTCATGAACCAATCCTCTTAACTTGGTATTATAAGTCCTAGTATCAGGGACAACATTCTTCTTTTCCATCAATTCCCAAATTTCCTCTCCGTCGGCAATTCGACCCTGGAG